GGGGTTATATTGGGTTTATATTGGGATAATGGAAAATAAGATGGAGATTACTATTCAGGGTTCAGGGTTTAGGGGTTATACTAAGGAGTCGCTGCCCGAAAACTTCCGGCTTCTTTGTATGCCGGAGGGCTTTGACAATGAAAGCCCACCCACCGAGGTGAAGGAGGCCCTAGGGTTTAGGGTGTTTTGGGTGTGTAGGGTTTAGGGTTTAGGGTGTTTTGGGGTCTTCAGGGTTTAAGCTGTTAAGGCTGTTTAGGGTGTTTAGGGTGTTTAGGGTTTAGGGTTTCGATTTTGTAAGAGGGGAGCCAGGATTCAATGTTCTTGGCCTGCGTATGTGTCAGTATCAATATATAATGAATATACAGCCTATGAATGTCTATGGAATGCTCTGGTCATATGGGTCCCTGTGTGAGATCCGTTTCCCCGCAACAGCATCACCCGTCGCCACAAATGACATTCACTAGAAGAGTTAGGGGTCTTCTCAGGGTTTCCGACTCCCCAATACCCAGCACCTTACAGGGGATTAGTCTCCCGAAGCTTGATTATGGGCAGGTCTGCCTGACTACAGTACCATGGGACTTCAGGTCTGAACCTGCACTTTTGATGGAAAGCCTCAGGGCAAGTTTGGCCTTCCAGTCTGCAGGCACTTTTGGGCAGTCCCTTCAGATCCTTTGCCTCAGTAGATTCTGACAGGAGTCTGACTGGTCGCAGCGCCGCTCTTTTCCGAAGACTTGCTCCAAGTGGCATTGTGCCCATATGCACAAAGATGCTGGCTTGCTCTTAGAACCATGTTGAAGAGTTTGGCGCAGAAGCAGCAGCAGTGGCGGTCTCATTGTGAGGGTAGTGGTATTGGTCGTTGTGGTGCCGGTGCTGCCGGTGAGCGTTGTCGTCGTCGTCGTTGCCGCAGCAGCAGTGGCAGCAGCAGAAGAAGAAGAAGCAGCAGTAGAAGAAAAAGACGGAGCGGTATCAAGAGGAGTTGAGACGGTATCTGGCGGTAGCAGCAGCGGCGGCAACAGCATGATGTATGCTTCGTTTGCCCCTCCCCTATCCGTAAACGCCCCTCCCCTGCTGAGTAGGTTTGGGAGGTTGGCCCGTGTTTTGTTGTTTGCGGGGAGGCGGCACCACGTGACAATGTTAATTAACCGGGCGTCGCCGCTTTGATATAGTTTAAGATTTGATACGGACTTTTCTGAACCAAAGCTCTTGAAGGTTAGTTCTGTCTAAAGGATGGATGGCCCATGGTCCACCTGCCGTATTTCTGGTCGCAGACTGCCATGTTTACAGAAAGTCCTCCGCAGACTGGCAACCTGCGGCAAATTGACCCCGGCTGGAGATATTGGCAACCCAAGTTGCCCGTGCCTAGGGCGGATGAATAAATGAGGGCTCCTGAATAGTTGCGGGTGCCTTTTTGGTGTTGAGGTCTATAGACTTTGGACGGCTACTCAGGCACCGTGAGCTCTTAAGCTATAACAAGCAACATAAACCCTAGATCGTATTCATAAAAACCCCAAACCCTAAACGGTTTTGATAAACACCTTCAACCCTCAACTTCAATCTTTGTAAGTCAGCGGTCTTGAATGCTAACACCAATGCAGACTCTAGTAGCGTATAGTGGCGTTCAATGAAGGACTTTAAGTTTGTAACCTAGCTCTGACGGTCTTTGACATCCACATTGGAGTTCCTAGAGGCGTTCTGTTCCTCCTCCAATTCTTTGGCTTCAGCACGTGTCATAGCGGAGCCATTGACATCATCATTACCCCCAGATGTATCCTTTGTATCCCTTTCATTTTTGTTTTGGCTCTGCATCATTTGGGATAGTATCCCTGGCTCCAAAACATCCCTACTATATAATCCTTTACATTCCCTACATGACCCTACATTAAATGTAATCCCTTGACCTTACGCAGCCTCATGGAAATCAGCTACAGGTGAGCGTTCTTGGCCGGATGCCTCTTCTCAGAAGTCCTCAGCCCCCGGCAATCCAAAGGCCAAACCTTCCAGCCCTCCAGGCCCCAGAGACTGGGACTGCCAAACAAAAGTTTTGAGTTGTGTGGTCGGCTTAGGGCTTAGGGTTAACAAACAGATCAATTTTTCTGGTGAAGCACGCAGATCCACAAACCTTCTGGTTTGGGGTGGTGAGCTCTGAAAGGTCGAAGAGAACGGTAAGGCACCTTCGCAAGCTGACCCGCAGCAAGAGGCGCCTAGCGGTCACAAAGGGTCATTTGGCTGCACTAAAGCTGGACAAGAGGCTTGCTTGAATGTTATGGGACTTTGTAGCTGCCTATAGCTGCGGTAAGCTACAAGTTAGAGGAAGGTCTAACTGAGGTTTTAAGCCCAGTTATAAGCAGCTACTACGTGCCATGAATCTTTAAGTAATAAGTAATATCTTCCCGACTATGATAACCCCCACACTACTTAAGACTCCTCGAAGTATGCCAACATTAAAATACCCATGTGGGGAGCATTTAGCAGTTGGCGAAGAACAGAAGGGTCAGTTTGTCCGTCGTATGGGTCCACCCGAATTTAGCAACCACACTTTTGCATATATGCACAAGTGCAACGTGCTTTGTGAGAGGCCTAAGTACAAAATTGGGGGCTTCCCACCGGGCGTTGGGTGCAAGGTCTTGGGGAACATGGTGTCCTACACCCTGAACCCTAGTATGAAGGCGGACACACCTGGAGGGAAAGTTGCCAATGCGGGGATCCTGGGACTCAGGGGTTTTATAGGGATAATGGAAAATACAATGAGAACTACTATAGTATATATTAGATAGTGATTGTGGCACTGGTGTCTAACGTCTCATGGCATTCCGGTAGTCCCATCCTTTATGTCCCTTGTTCCCCAAGCCTAGGTCATTGATGGAAGGCCATGCCTCAAATGGCTTAGCTAATGCAGCATGACACTACAAAAAAGAGGTGCGCTACAGGAGCAACCCCACAGCCTAGACCCCACACGCCGAAACCATAAAACCTGAGGCCAGATTCAGGGTAGTTCTCAGGGTACTTACAACACAATTGCGGACGAGTTCACACGTATATCATGCAAATGAAAAACAATTTTCCAGACCGCTGCGTGTCTAATTTTGGCGAGGGGGCGCTTTGTAATATTCGGGGGGAGGGGGTTGTTTGGCGTATATGTACCTGGAACCTCCAAGCAAGCTTATCAACCCAAAGCTCTACAACGTTTGGGGCTGAGGTCTATGGGCAGCCAGGCGCCCTCGGCTGCGGCATCAGCTGGCAAGGAAGCCAAACCTGCGAAGCAGGGCAAAGTGCCCAAGGAAGCCAGTGTTAAGGTTAATGGCCCAGGATTTATGGCCGCTTCTAGGGTTTGAGGTTTTTTGATATAATGGAGAAGCAAATGGAACATGGAATGGAAACTGGGGGTATAGGGATCCTCATAGCAGTCCCTATATAACCCCATTATAGACATAGTGTAAAGTTTGGGGATTGAGGTTTGAAATTTTGGCCGAGTGACTTCAGGCTTATGATTTCGTGTTGGAGATTCAGGTCTCGGGAGATTGGTGTTTGAAAGGGGAATCTACGGGTGCCAAGGTGGAGTAAGATTATATTCTCCTGTTGGATTTTTTGACCCTTTAACAAATCTGCTGACCCTGATCCTCAAATTGCTGATTCCTTAGCATGTTTTGATCCCGCACCCGTTAAAACCCCCACATCCCCGGAATACTAGACATTCCCTGTCTGATATATTATACCACAGTGGGTATATTTAACATCAAAGGGGTAGGGGGGTTTCAATATTATCGGAGTGGACTAAGACGCCGATTAACATACAAGCATAGTCCCCCTTAAGTAGATAGAATATGGGGTATATGGGGATCTTATTATAACATACCCAAAACCATATTCGATCTACTTTAGGGGGCCTATAACTGGGAACTTCAGGAACCCAAGGAGGCCAAGCAGCCCAAGGAGGCAAAGGAGGCCTTCGCAGCATAATCCCGATATGAGCTATAGTCTAGTCTCCTTTAAGGGGGATATAGGGGTTATAATAGGGTTTGGAGTTTGGGGACCGGAAAAAAATGTACGATTTGGGATTTAGGGTTTAGGTTTATTGTAAGTCTCCAAAAAGAGATCCCACCTTGCATCCCCAGATAATCCGCAAACAGGTGACATATAGATCTGCACCATTCATAAAGTGCCCCCGTTCGAGGTATACCCCAACAGGTCCCCAAAATCCCGGTCAACCCCCAAATCCCCTTCCCCTGAGGCCAAGCAGCCTAAGGGGCAGAAAAAGGACAAGACAGACAAGGAGGCCAAACGGGCCAAGAAAGAGAAAAAAGAAAAAAAGGCGCGACAGAGAGCTGAAGCAGGCGAGCCTTCCCTACGCACGTCCGGCAGCAAGCGGAAGCTCCTTGAGACCGTAAGTGAAGCTGCAGTGCCGGCAGCTGACGACGAGGATGTAGCTGCAGAAGATGAAGCCTGCTCCCAGGAGAGTCAGGAAAGCCCAGAAGCAGAGGCGGAACTGGGGAGATTCTCCATTGAGCTGAAACCAAAGCTTGCAGCTGAAATCAATTTGGAGTAGCTGCAACAGCCAACTGCGTCGGAAAAATGTGGGTGGATGGCTGTTGTCAACATAGAATTGTTGCAGGCGCTCCCTTTTCTGCAGGGTATACCCCACGTGTTGGGCTATCAAGACGTCAGAAATTTTCATTCACACACTTGAGCACACCCTGCAGAACGAGATGGCACAGAGAAACTTCCCTCAAACCAGCAGCCTGGCTACCCTACGCAAGCTCCAGAACCCGAAGAATTTCAGCTTCGGGCCTTGCATGGGGATTATAGTCCCCCTTCGTGGGGTTTATGGGGATCTTATTGAAATATACCCAAAGCCATATTCTATCTACTTAAGGGGGACTATAACCCTATATGATATAGTAGTTTCCATTTTATTTTCCATTATCCCAATATAACCCCAATATATCCGCAAAGATAGTAGTACAGGGATCCCTGCCTCGCTAAGCATGTGCAAGTCAACCGAGGCGAGCTACTTCGAGGCTGTCAATCTGGACGACAGCCACTTGTTAGCAAGAGTTTCACAGGGACCGGGTGAGCCAAGTGCAAAGATGGGGGTGAATTGGGTACAGCTCTGGCATACGTGTACTTTACACGTTATCTAAAATTTGGTTCGTATAGCACAGTGACGGCAGTCAGGCTTGGACGTAGCGTTGTTAATGGACAATTCTGCGTAAGCCTTCTAATGCTGCGCACCCACCGCCCCTCCTGACACATTCTGCGTGAATCCATTTTGGGTCTTCGCATCAGACTTCTGCCCCCTACAAGACCGAAATGTCTTGTTGGCACCGGCTTGTACAAAATTCGGTTATCTCCTACACTCCTCCCTAATCCCCTCAACCCTAAAGCCACCTGCATATTGCAACCTGTAGCTGAAGTATGCATGCTTTGAGGTGAGGTGGTGCTACATTGTTTGAGGCCATAGAGGTTCTTGTTTGAGCTACGTCTAGTTATGAGATTCTTGTCTAGTGTAGAGGCTTAAAGGACCACAATGATATGATTCTAGGTTCCTTGTATTTTCTGTGGTCTCGGCAACTTCTAATAGACCTCGACGTGATATTGATAATTTCTGAGGCCCCCTGCATTCCACAATCCCTACAAATCCCCATGTAAACGCCGTTCACTGTTTCCATGTTCTTTTCCATTTGGTAAGTTTATGAGCCCTTGTCTTCGTTTTTTTTTGGCATGTGGGAGGCCCAGGCTTCAAGTGGGAAGCCTGTTTGGTGGGGCCGTTAGTCTTGTAAATGAGGTGGCAATACTGCCGAGCGAATCAAACCCTCTGGCCCTATGGCAGTCCTAATTAATCCTGAAAAGGACTGCACTCCCAGAATTGAAATATGTTCCCCAATTTTCTGTAAGCAGCAAGGCCAACATCCAAAGGAACTTTCCAAACAGCCGTGAATCTTGCCTCATGATCCCACAGCGTCCCCTGACCATGCCTAAACCCGCAATCTCTATAGTCCCCCTCAAGTAGATAGAATATGGTTTCGGGAATATTAGAATAAGATTCCCATACACCCCATGTTCCATATACTTAAAGGGGGCTGTAAACCCTAGACCCTGGTGCTGCCAAGGCATAGAGATCGATCAGGCTAGAGATGCCCCTTCCGCTGCATTTGCACGAGCTTAGGACCTGTTTCCAGTCCCCCTTAAGTAGATTGTCATAATGGAGGGAAAATTGGAACTACTGTTTCGGGTTTTGGGTTTAGGGTATAGTCCCCCTCAAAAAGATAGAATGTCGCGTATATGGGGGGTCCGCAAAATGGGATTATGAGGCATCATTCAGGCCTTGTTTACAGTTTTGTGCCCTAGCTGATTTTGGGGTGCCATGGCCCTCAGGGCATGTCGAGTCGGTCCGAGATGAAAGGGTCCCAGCTGCATGATCGTGCTATTTCAAGAATAGCACAAGACAAGTAGGAGAAATTACCGAAAATGGTCATGGGTCCCATCTTTGCGGTGTGCACAGCAGACCTTAGGTGGACCCCCCACCCAGTAATAGTGACTGGAATAGTGACTGTAGGGGATAATAGGGATTATATTCGGGTCCTCTTATGTTCCTATTATACCACTATTACAGGGTGGGGGGTCCTCCTGAAGCAGACCCCTACGCTGCTAATGAGCATCTCAGCCGATCTTCCCCACACACTCTGCATGCCAGAGGTACAGAAGTTGTTTGGGAACTTGCCTGTGACGATGCTGTCCCTCTGGTGCGCGGTCAGTGGTGGCAACGACTCGTGGCAACCAAGTTGTGCTATCGGTGTTCTGTCCGCGTTTCTTCGGTGCTGTCTCGGCCCCGCTACTTCTGCTATCTGATAGCTGCTATCTATCCCATGCCTAAGTTTGCAGTGCGCTGCACATCATCAACTGCATGGGGTACGCACTGTTGTTCCATGCACAATATTCAGTAACACCCGGCGAGGGCTTCATAAGCCTCAATAATTTCTATCCTGTCCAAGGAGCAGGGTCTTCCCCAATATAGTACGATCACATGTGAGGGGGAACATTTTTCTTTATCAGGGGGAGTTGAATGACAGTGTCTGCGTGCATGATGCAGACCGTAGGACTGGATGCTGTACGCGGACGCGCTGGTGCTAATGGCAGCTTGTCTTCAGCTATTTGAGCGTCTGGGGGGCCAGCTCTTGCATACATTAGTTGGAAGAAAATCCAATCTAAACACGAGTGTTTCATACTGCACCTGCCTTTCACGCAAACTGTGATTCTTTTAAGGCAAACAAGCCTGACCCAGGTAGGCCAACTCAAGTTTCAGCAGGTAATGTTGATCTTCGAGTAACTCCCGCAATCGTTCCATCTTGGTCAGTGTCCTACGCAGACGAATCGGCACTGCTCTAAGCATGGTAGATGCTGGCAGTCAGACAGTTCAGTCCTTCTGCCCTAGCTAGGGAAGATTTTCTGCCTCAGCAGCGCCAATGTCCAGGATCATGATGGTAGCTACATCTACCTGGCAGTGTTTCTGTTCTACACTGCCTTCTGCGTGGTCGGGCTGCTGGATAGCAGCTTCAGTGCTTCAATCAGGGTTTTGCTTGCCCGATCTTGTTCCGGACCGTAGAACCATACATTGCCATACATGGTTTGGTAACTTCCCAAAACAGGAGGGATCCTCAATATAGACCCCGACATTACATAATCCTTATGATGGGGACCCCCAAAATGGTACCCCTTACCCCAAACCCTGTATACTACCCCTATATACCCCTACATATCCCTTTTACTATACTCCGCTTTAGCATTTTGGCAGACTTCGAAGTGCAACCAAGGCTGTTCAACGTCGTGACAGGCCCCACTTTGATGTATGGCGTCCTAGAATTCGTCAAGATAAGGTTAAGGGTTCTAGGGTTTTAGGGTTCAGGGTTTAGGGTTCAGGGTTTTAGGGTTTAGGGTTGAGCATAAGAGGGAAAACCTGCTTTTCTTACTGAGCGTTAGTCGGGAACATGGGAATGTAGAGAGGTTATATGAGGATTATATTCCTGTTCGCTGCTAACAACCAGAAAGTATAGGACCCGTGCCAGAAGGCACAGGTCGGGAGCGCCATGGTGCAGATGAGCATGCACCACGTGATTTTTAACGCAGTGAGATGGGCTAAAATCAGTACCTTTGTTTGGGCAGCTGTATATTCCATAGTCCATAGTGCACTTTGACACGATGTTGCGGACTTCTACAAATTGTTGAAACCATGGACCATAGCCCTGAGATCTTTATATACCTTAGAGAACAACTGCCAGGAGTTTTTGTCGACAGCGCGGTGTGCTGCAGAACTGAAGACGAAGTGCTCCAGCACCACGGCTTAAGCGGCACCAGTGAGGTCGTTTACTGTGCAGTTACGCTCCCTAAAGACCTAGGGAGCTACTGAGAGTTTCGACGTTCTTTTTTGGGGCCTGATGGGGTAAGGGTGGCCGAAACGGGATGAGTGCTTTAAATTAACGCAATCCTGTAAGTAGCATTTTGCTGGGGATGAGAGAGGAGTGACAAGGAAGCGCACGCAAAAAACTTGCACAAGCGCTCCGTTTGATGTGGAGAAGCTCATCTTACTTGTCCTTCCCCTCCATGATGCACACTCACCAGCAAAGACTTCGGTTTCATACCTTGGGTACTACAAGACAAGCAAGGGCTTCTTCCCCGTTTTGTATTGTTTAGTGCGAGGTGAGCTTTGACTTTTTGAGCTACAGTACTCTGGTTATTCTTCACAAGCTGTTTCGGCCTCAACCCTGAAACCCTAAACCCCTAAACTCTTACCCCAATATATACCCTGTTATGATATAGTAGTTTCCATTTTCTTTTCCATTATCCTTCTATAACCCCAATAGTATACGGTTTCGGGCAAGAAGGAAAGCACCACGGCCGGGTGACAGCAGCAGCAGGAGCAGTACCAGCAAAGTAGAAGCCGGAGTGATCCGGTACCTGGTTTCCGCATACCTCTAAGTTGTACAAGCATGGTGTAAATTCACCCCAGGCCATAAGAGCTATAGTCTAAACTCCTTCAAGGGGGATATATAGGGGTGATATAGTGGAGTATTATAGGGGTCTATTGAAAGGGATACTAGGAGTTTAGACAATGGCTCATATGTCCAAAGCCCTAGACCATCCTAGACCCCAACCCGCTAAGCCCTGCACCTAAGCTCCGAGATCCTAGACCCTTGTGAAAACCTTGGGACTGAGGAGCTACGTGGATGATCTGAAGCGCACCACCGCAGAGATCAAGCACGACGGCCGCATTTCTTTGGGCTGCTTTGGGCCTTCAAGAGTCGCACGCAGGTTTAGATTTGATATGTTGGTTTTTCAATTACAGGATCCATCTAGGGACTGAATGACTATGTTGGATTTGTAGGGGTTTCCGTTAGGGATATGAAGGGTCAGCTTATCCACATACTCACATTTCCATGAGGGTTCAGCTGGTGCCTACAAATTAAATCTTGCTTGTGCGTTCTAGCAACCGAACGCTCTAACACAAGAAGGTGATCCCTTTTGCGAGAGGGACACATTCCACGGTCCAAGACACAAATAGGATGACGCCGACAAAGTCTTCAATTTGGGCAGGACCCCATGATGTCGTGATATCTTGGGAAGCCAATGCCTAAATATGTACATCCCCAATGTTCGATCCTGATTAGCGGCCCTCGCTCTCCTAAGGAAAAGGGGACTGTAAACAATCGAAAGTCTGCAAAACAAATTTGGCCTTCCGGGTTCTTGTTAAGATGAGTGAACCCATGGGGTCCCGCGGTTCCTACCAAGACTCTTATAAGGGAAGACAGGGGAGTAATTAGTCTAGCTTGCTGTTGTTTCGTATTGATGGTGAAGGAAGGGTTGAGTCTCTGTGAAATGTGCAAATGGATCTTGGCCTGGATGTTGAGATGCCTGGCCATTGAAGCCAGCAGGTTTCTGGCCTCATCATGAACGCCCAAGAGACTGCAATTTATTTGAGGCAGCCGGAAACCATGTTTAGTGTTGAGATTCAGGAGTCTGGCTTGACTACAGCACCTCGTTTGGATTTTGATAAGCTGAATCATGACACTTGTGTGGCTCCCGGTGGCCTTCGACTCCAGATTGCAAAGCCTCAGGATCTTCAAGCAAATAGCATGTAGCCCAATGGCTTTTGTGCCTCGTGGTCAAGCTGCCCCAAAGATTCTTATGGCCAGAAACCTTAAGGCTACTGGGCCCCCCAACAAGCATGGGTGTACTGAATAATTTTGAATCCTGTTTCTGGGGACTCCCGCGCAAGTCAAGATTCAGCATGAGTTTCTATGAGCCGCTTTAACAGCTCGTCCATGTATTTTTGAGGAGCCCTAAACCCCAAATCCCTTACACAGATTCCATCCAACAGTGGTCTTTCCGATCATGTTCAGAATAGATGAGCGCTGCCAAAGACAGTCTATATACCCGAAATGCTTGCTGCCTTTATAGGGTAAAGGGTGGTAATCCTCAGTAAGGAAGCCCCCCATGTCCTCCCCTGTCTTGCTCCGAGGAAATTTTTTGAGACTGCTGACTCCGACGGGTCAGGAACTTTGAGCTATCGAGAGCCGCCTTTCCGCACGATTCTGGGGGCTCAAGACTTGTTCTGAGTTAGCATTTAGGGCAACTTCACATGGAGCATATGTCTGGAGACGTTTGCTGGGATTGATCCATACCCGCAGACATGCCTTTCTGGCAGTCCCTTTTAGAGTTCTTGCAAGCTACCTACAGATTTTCCAAGAGTATGTAGCGAGTATGAGGAGGTTCCACGGGGCCACCCGGGGATCATTTTGAAAAACTAACGCTTCTGGTATACAAGTGTTTCACATGTGACCCTTCCAAGAAGTCATGCATTATGTCGGATTTGTCATGGTTCAGGGGGGGCTTTGGACAGGGTGGATTTTCGCGGGGCTGTTGTGGATGACAGCACTTGGCCTTCACGCCATCCACCGACATTGTAGAAAGAATCATGCACCCCATCCCAAATAAAAACAACCCAAAGATTAGTCAGCACCTGTAGTAAGCCTTGAGAGTCACTGGCTTGAAATGTTTGACTCAGAACCTGGCTCGCGAAATTCCAAAATGCTTCACAGTTTGGTTTGTTGAGATTTTCCGGGCTCGGCTTGCTTATTGAGGGATATCTAGGCCTCATTAAGGGTAGTGTACCTACTGGTCCTTAGTAGGGAATATGGGAGCCGTGGAAGATTTTCCCATAATCCCTACTAAGTACCAGTAAGATAGCTAGGCGTCAGTAAGGGTAGTACATATATTGTAAAGTCGTAGGGGAAGTGGCTCTGGGAGTGAGTCTGATAAAGATCTCTCAGAGTTGCCGTGTTGTGACTTATTGGTTCTTAGTAGGGAATAAAGGAAGATATCACATAGGGGTTATACAGGGAGAATGTTCTCTTATTCCCTACTAAGACCTAGTAAGGCAAGGCGCTTGCAAGCTATTTGGTGCTCATTTCGGAATAGCTTAGAGACGTTAGATGTCTGCCAATGGCCCTCAGTACTGTAGCCTTGCCTTCCCAAATTTCCAGGGTGTAATGTTCCGGAATTAGGGTTGAAACCCCAAATCTGTGCCTGAGGTTCTGCGGCCACCTGAAAAGTCCAACGGTCAAGGCCTTCGCTGCAATAGAGAAGGGAGAGAATTTAGGATGTAACATAGGAGAATCGCATGTCCTTGTTAAGGAGGTTTCCAGTTTAGTGTTGCGTATACGGTTGAGGCAAGAGGTGAAGCGTACATTGCAGTTTTCTAAAGTCATGGTCCATGTGAGCCATAGTCTAAACTCCTTAAAGGGGGTTTTATAGGGGATTACATAGGGGACTACTGTTGGGGTAATTAAGGGGCATACTAGGAGTTTAGACATTGGTTCATGTAATCGAAATGTTGGGTTGGCCGCAAGAAGTACCCAGAAAGGCCTTGAGAAAACACATTGCAAGAGCTTGTTGATCATTACTGGTAAGATGCGCTGGCAGTCAGTCTGAAAGTATATTAGTCAGTATATTATGCAACCTTAAATGCGTAGCTACACCCTGAGCTTTAGGCAAAGCATGTCCGGCTAAGAACTAACCATCATGAGTAGATATTGTACAAGTGTGCATGATCATCGTGACAATGCCTCAAACAACCCTGCTTGCTGGGAGCTACGCACGTTTGAAGATTCCGTGCGAAGGCTGTAGTAGTGGCAGGTTGCAAAACATTGTCAGAGGATGTGGAACTTTTTCAAGCAAGGATCTCAGGTGCCAAACCCCTGCGAAATCCGTGACTCTAGCTCGGTATACTAGGTCTCTCACATGATCTTATCATGTGTCGACCTTCATTACATATCATGCGTACACATGTTGCGCATGCACTTGTGCGTGTACGTGTCTACGTGCATGGACATCCACATCTACAGGTATATGGAATTCTATTACATATATATATATGTGTGTACATCCCTTCTTCGATAGGTCATGTAGAATGGATTTCCAAATTTATGCTGTCCCTGCCCAGGCGTTTTTCCACGGTCTGGAGATTGATCCAGAGGAGGTCCTCGCGGTTGCTTGTGGCCCCAAAAAGTACACTCGACCTACTTGGCCAATATAAGAACTTTAACCTTTTTTGGGGCTTGCTTTTTGGGGTCCCTATATTAAAGTGTGAACTTGTTTAGCCTTGGTTATTGGGGAACAGAGTCGATTTCCTTGTGTCTGCCGGTATATTATAGGAATTTGTAACATGAACAAACAATGAGGAGCTCGTAAGTCCTGGTTGGGATTCCAATTTGTCAGAGATCCAACGCTGCACATTTCTCTTTGTTTTCATGAGGAGTGGACCATTGCCAGGGCTGGTAGCAGTTATTCTTGTGACGGCGGTCTTGGTTCGGGATCGCATGGTCACCATTGCGGACACTAGGTATTAGAGTTGAATCCGCAGAGGGACATTCTTCAACCGGGGCCAACTACAGAAAAGAACTCTTGGACCCTGGAGAAGGATTCTGGGGCATGCATGCTCAGCCTTCTGCAGACACTTCTGCAGCAGCATAAACGTCATCTTCGCTTGCAAATGCCAGGCCTCCATAATTTTCAGAATCCTTGATGACGACAAGAATGATGAGATACTCATCGAGGAGTTCATCAACGGGACCATGAGCCTTGCTTGCAGCTGGCCAAGGCTGCGCAATTGTCTGAAGGAGCCCCTTCAAAGGCTTCATCCATCACAACCTTTCGGGGTACGTTTTGGTACTGCACCTGCCCTAGAAAATCATGTAAAGGACCCTTGTGAGGGGAACATTTTTTGCATACTTCTACAGGTGCCATATTGGGGAACTGTTCTAGCATGCTGCAGTATCCAGGGTATTGGCCGAAGCCTGCAGGATGCCGACTGGGCTGGGATCCTCATTTCAGTGTAAATACCCACATGCAAGGAAGAATTTTGCACACCAACGGAGGCAAGCCACTCCAACTAAAGGAATAGATGTGAAACACGCAAAGAAGTACCCTGAACTTCAGGCATTGCTGCATGGAGTTTCAGAGATCAACACGAGTCGCCCCTCCCCCCCCCCCCCGACATTCAATAAGAGTTTCCTGAACAGTAGATGCTCACCATTTCTTATGTTGTCTCAACGGCACATTATGACGGATACGGTTTGTTTGCCTTGGGCTGCTACATCAGCACTGGCAACATCAACTTTATGAGCTAACATGCAGTAGAGGCCCAACCATACACACGAGAACCGCTTCTGCCGTTCTTAAGCCTTAAGCAGGTGTCAAATACAAAATTGTTTTCGGTTGCAATTATGCATCATAGCTCAAGTACGCGCGCGCAAAATTTGTGCCTTTTTCATCGAGAATGCGGAGCAGGCAGCTCGCCAAGTTTGGCTATCGACAGATAAGGAACGCATGTCAGCTTAGGTAAGGATATAATCCCCTGAAAATGGATAGAATATGGAATTTCCCACCTGCTATCCCATATTCTATTTTAAGCCCTCCAACCCGAGAGCTCTAATATTCAAAGCCCCAACCCCCCAATCAGAACTATTTCCAGTACGGTGTATTATAATGTAGTAATATGTATTGGGAATATTTAACATGAGCGGGGTGGGCAGTTTTGATATAGGGGAGAGGAAGGCCATGGAAAGGCCCGAGTTTGGTTCTCATTGCTGAAGTGTTTCTTCAGGCCCCTTAAGACTCAAGAGTCCTCCGAATGTGGTATATGCGAATCATAAGGAGACTCCGGGGTCCTCAATAGGCTTGACGCTGGGGATCATGTATGACTTCAGAAACTTAAACTTCCGGAAGGAAAGCCTGGCCTTTTTGAGTCTGCTTGCCGCGCAAGGAAATTGAAAGGACATGCGACAAAGCTGGAGATGATAACGCTGATGTACGACAACACAAGGCAGGGTGGTAGTTGAACCATTTGGACATGCCACAACGAGAAATGGTCCAGCTGCACACTGCTGTGCTTCAGATTAAGTGCTAGGACCAAAGGTACCGGGTTTCAGGCTCTCATCTTTTTGCAGCCCACACACAAGCATAAACAGGAACTTTGGCTTCTAAAAGTAACCCCCCCCACCCCAAACAACGAACCATACGGAAGGGGGTACAGCTCTTAAGTTTGGGAGGAGTTATGTTCGGGTGGGTTCTGGAGGAAATCATTCGTGGGTTCCAGTTCAGAGCATGCCATTATTTTGTTTCTGCCTTGTCATCATTCCGTGCGGGACAAAGTTCGCTCTATTCCGAACCCTTTTTTATTATTCTGTTGCGCTGAGAGTTTGCTGTACTTATTCCGAAGCACTTTAGCATTGACTACTCAACATTACGCACACATCCTGTGAAATCCGCACTTGTGCTGTCATTGGCGGACGGACTATCGCTACACGACTCAGGCTGACTCAAGAGTCTCTGCGGTTTTATCTTTTCAGCGTGCTCAATGCGGTGCAGGATGTTTTGCGCCAGACCCTTGCGCAGTATAAGAGAACTTGAATGCTGGACATTTTTTCTCAAAGTAATCCCATCCCTAAGAAAGACCACCATAATTTCCTTATAACCCCTTCATGTTCCCAGGGTCCCAGAGGTCCCGCCTGTTATCCCTAAACTCTGAACCCTATCATCTTAAGAAGCCCCTGAATGAACTTGGCATGGGCTACCGCAGCTTGCCAAGGCAAAGCATGAAGCTAGACTCGCCGGGACCTTGCTCTGGGTTTGGGGGCAGAGGTTGGGAACAGAAATGGAGGCGTCTCCTTGTATAAGAAGGATTGCAGTGTTTTGGGGTCTATATTGGGCTTTCCGCATTTGGCAAGCTTTGCAATACTCTTACGAGAATCTACAATCAACCCCGACCCATTTAGGGTGGAGGCCGGGTGTAGACTCGCCGTAGAACTGGCTTGAAGTGATACATTCACGTCCGTGGGAAACCCCAAAGAGGGATTATGACAATTCCTTTTTTTTGTTTTTCTGATTTCTATGGTTAATAAAAGTAGTACTAGCAATATTCTTACTATCATTATACCCCTATCCCCCGTGGCTGGCCCCACCTGTCTAGATCTGTGTCAAGTTACGTCAACCGCACAGTTCAAGCTCTGCGTTTCGCTTGCTTGTCCTTAACAAGGGAGTGGGGGAGGGAAGGGAATGTAGAACCTATTCTAGGCAGCTGCATGAGGGTTCTTGCAGCGATCCACTCTCCCTTTCAATTGGGCATTGGCAATTTTAGGGTTTGGGGCACTACAAAACTTTGAAGCCCAAGGCTCAACTGGACAGATTATAATGATAGCGTTCTCACTCCATGTAAAGAAAATTGTCATTTCAAGCGCTAGTTGAGGCAGCTCAAGACTAAAGCCAGTGGAGTGACTTTGTGCTACTCACTGGTTCTGAATAGGCAAGGAAATATATTCCATATAGAATCCCTATATAGCATATTCAACCCCTGATTCCCTACGAAGAACCAGTAAGCCTAGGCTGTGTGAATTCATCGAGCACGAGTTTCAAGAGCTCCGGAGGCAGGGTCATTCTCATCTCATGGGGCAGACAGGTTGATTGCCTAGTAATAGGAATAAGCGTCGTAGTAGTAGTAGTAGTAGTAGTGGTAGTAGTAGTAGTTGTAGTAGTAGTAGTAGTAGTAGTAGTGGTATTAGTAGTAGTACTAGCAGTAGTAGTAGTAGTAGTAGTACTAGTAGTACTAGTAGTACTAGTAGTACTAGTAGTACTAGTACTAGTACTAGTACTAGTACTAGTAGCAGTCGCAGTAGTAGTAGTAGTAGTAGTAGGAGGAACAGTAATTGTAGTACTAGTAATACTAGTTTTTATGGTAAGAATAGTAATACTAGTAGCATCCATCCTAAGTCCTCCCTTTAGGAATTGTATACGGATCTTTTGAGAAGCTCCCATGTTGGAACCCCAGACCCTATATATCCTAAACTCCAAGCCCTAAACAATAAACCCCAGTATGCTCCTGCAGACGGAACAGTCCCATGGTTAAAAAAAGACAAGCCCTTAACCCCACTATCCACTAAAGAGCTATGAAACAGCATGGCACGGTCTAGAGTCCGTTCACGACCTCATGGACAGCTCACGACAACCTATATGACCTTCAACCCTCGAGACCAGACACTCAACAGCACTTGGGGGATCACGGGGGGCTAAGTAAATGATTCTGCTTGGACCCCCTATAGCCCCAGCTATGTCTAGTATCAGCCTACTTACTCCGTCCCTCTGACATTCCGCATACACTCCAGACGAGCTTGAGCGCCGCACCGGAAGCCTCAAGTCTCATGTGGTTCAAGATTCAGGCTCCGAAGCAGTTCAGTTGTGAACCTATGGTCTTGCTTAAGTAGATAGAATATGGCTTCGGTATACTCTAATAAGATCCCCACATACCCCATATTCTATCTACTTCAGGGGGACTTTACCCTTGCCCAAACATGCTTTGGCACAACTCCAAAGTCCCAAACCTTGGCCAAGGCATCCCGATATCCCTTGTCGCCCCACACTCAAGCTCAGACACTATGTCCCCAAACCGCAGTTCTACCGTAACCCTGGGAAATCCAAGTGAACAGCCATGGCTCCTACTAGTGCAGTTTTTGGCTGGTTGTGATTTTGCTCCGTTTGGTGAGCACGACAACTTACAACATAGAAGCATTCGGAAGGTTCTCCTGTGCACTTCCAGATGCCCCTAAACCCTCTGTCGGGAACAGGTCTCTGCTGTGAGGTTTATATAAGGTTCTACAGGAACTTGAATGAGTACCAAGAGGATTTAAACAACCCCACCCCTGACAATACGGGCACGGAGAGTCACTTGATCGTCATAGCGTCCTGGTTGTGGGCGATGGGGTTACCAAACTCGCCCGTAGTGCCTAATCTACATCCTTATGTAGCAGCTAGAAAGCCACAGTTCCATGTCATTGTTCACTTAAGTGGTTGGGCGGCTTATGCAAAGCGCTCTGTTTATTCTTGGGACAGGGAACTTCTTGAAGGTCGTGTCACATTCTTGTCTACCTGTTGCTTAGACTTGTGCTCGACCAATTGGCCGGCTTCTGATGGAAATGCAGGAATTCCTGTTGCTGGGGGCAAGGTGGTTTAGCCCAACATGTGGTAAATGCGGATTAGCTTGTCCACAAGCTGCTTCGAGAATGGACCGGCAGTGGCCCCAATGAGACAAACAGCTCACGATTCAAGTGGAGACTTCTCTATTGCGTGCAGCGTATTGCCAGTCACTTCTTCTAGTCCCTTGTAGTTGCTGTTGTATATTGAATGCCTGGATGCTGGATGTCCTTCCTTTTTGCGACATGTCCCAGAATTTTGCAGGGTATACACCCTATATTAGGCGGTAGGACATCCAGGGTCCAGGCATATGCCTGCCAGCTGGTGCCTGTCTGCAGGGCCTACGACAGCAGACCGCCATCAGGGCCGGGATTGCAGGCAAGCCTGCTAGTCTCGGACTGTTGAGCCTCAGGATATCATAGTATAATATAGTGTAATATACTAAATTAAACCATATTACGATATTAGAATACAAGATTATACTAAAATATACTATAATCTACTAAGGATTTGGTTTCGGCCAGGCCCCCACCCACCAATTGGGTTTACTAGGAACATATAGGGGACCCAGTATAATTGCCAGTATCTCTTCATTTGGCTTTACCCTCTGGTCACTCTTCAGCTCTTCAGAGTTCTTTCCGGAGCTTGAGCAGGGGCTGGGGGAGTGAATTCCCTCTTGCATCTCGGAGGCCTAGTAACCTCTAAACCCTAAACCTATACAAACCCAATATAGTAGTTTTCATTTTCCATCGTCCTCATATAACCCCTATATAGACCCCTGGAGTGCCTTTAACAAAGGGCTGGCTGGCTTTTGACGCAGGGACCCTCTTTGAGCCTACCACAGGGGATGATTAAAGGCCCAAAGCCGAAACGT